GAGGGGTGGGGGGGAAGGTGTTTTAAGATTTCGGTTTATTTCTCATTGCTGCTCTGAGTTGGTTGGTAATAAATTACTTTTTTTCTCAAGTTGAGTCTGTTTTGCCTGTGATGGCAAATGCTGAGTGATCTCCCTGTCCCTATCTCGACCCATGAGCCTGTTATATTTTTCTCTCCCCTGTCCAGTTGAGGAGGGGGAGAGTGCTAGAGAGGCTTTGGCGTGTACGTGGCATCCAGCCAGGGTCAAGCCACCACAATGGGATATATTTTTTTCTACTGGAAGTTACAAAACTCATTTGCCTTCTCCTTAAACTATAAAAATTGCTAGGTATGTAAGGGAAGGATTTCAGTATTTCAGCTCTTGGAAGAAAGGCAGGATTTTGTTCAGATGTTCAGAACTGCTGTAGATAAACTGTGATTTCTTTAATTATATAATTTTTTAAACCGTTGCTTCTATGGATCAGACTGCTCCAACAAAGTGGTGCTGTCCAGGTAGATCACAGCAGTTCTGGGAGTCATGAGTAAGACCAGCTGGCCTACCTCTGTGGCAGTTGACATCGCCCCATTCAGGAGTTAGGTGTATGCCACAATTGGTGCCTTAGATCTGCATGGATGGTGGTGATCTGTTTTAGTAGCGTTGTAGATCTAGGTCATGCACTCATTGATCCCAAAAAGCTTCTCCTCTCGTTCCTAGTGTTTCTGGCAGGACGTGAGGGAGTTGAGAGGAGAGGACAAAAGGTAATGGAGAGGAGAGTGAAGGGAGGTGTCTGGGTTTCAGTGGGTGAGGACTGGGATCCTGTCAGAGGACACTACATGTAACTGAGCAGAAAAGTCCAGTGGCCCTAAATCTGACTTGGATACATTAGAATAGTTTGAGATTTATGTGTAGGATTGTGGTCAGGGGGATGGATAACTTCTGAATGCTCAAGTTATAGTGCTAGTTTGCGAATACATGTATGCATGCATCTACAGTTAACCTTGAACACTGTTACTTCTGGAAAAACAGTGGGGTTTTTGTGGGAGAGGACAAGCTGGTTATGCAAGTCAGATGGACTGGATCTAGATTCTAAGGCTTTCTGTGCAACAGCCTGTAGTTTGCTGGCTCTAGGCAGTGGAGTCCTTAGTGCAGTATTTGTAGGAGTAAAGAGGAACCATGCTGCTCTGTGTTGGTGATTAAGGCAGTGCCTGGGAAGGGCTGCACCTACCTGTTTATGCACTGTGCATTTTAGGAGAAGCACTCTCCTAGTTTTTTAATCCAGCTCTGGTAATCTAAAATGCTTTTCTATTTTATAACTGCTAATGATCCTTTGAGGAATTCAGGTGACTGTAGTCCCATTTTGAAAGGATGGACATGTGTTTATAAACAGCTTTAGCCTGAGAAGTAAGCAGCCTGTTTCCCCTACCTTGGTTATTTAGTCACTGGTGTGTTGCATCTCTAAGACTGGTCAGTTTTTCAGAACTGTGTCTTGTCAGCAGGTATTGGGTGTGTTTTGAACAGGCCTACTAAACTGAGCTTTTGAAAGAAGATGGAGCAATACCCACTTTTAAGGTTGGGTTAGCCTGGAAGAAGGATCTGAGAGAGGGTATTATGTGTCTCAGGAACTTGATTGCGAAGGGTTTCTTGTACATTGGTATCTGGATTCAGATGCCTAAATGCTGCCTGTTTTAGGCATATAGGCAAATAGATGCATGGCTCCTCTTATTTCGTATCTAGGTAACCTTTCCTATAAACCAAATGTGACATCCAAACTTTAAGTAAATGGTGAAAGCTTTCACTATATTGATGCAATAAGTCTGTCCCAGGGCAAAGAAATAACTGTATGTTGTATCTTTTAAGAACAGTTGAATACAAGATGAGATACTCTATATGTGAGGGGGTTTTTTGTTAGCTTTAAGGATTTTTGCATGCTGTGAAGATCAATTTTAAAAAATAAAACATTTGCATTCAGAGAGTTTCACTTACTTGAGTGGACAGCTATTTTTGAATAATACTGGTTGTCCTGGTTTGGGCTAAATCAGAACTAATTCTGGTTAAGTGCTTTAACTTTTCAGTTAAGTCTCCTCTAACTAATGGCACTTTCTGAAATCAACAGCATGTATTTCCAGACAGTGACTGCTTCTAGCAGTGATAAGGCCTGGTGTTTATAGTAAGTATCAAGGAATGCTGTGCAGAGAGGCCCTTGCTTATACTTGTTCTTATAGCGACCTCGGTCACTGCTGAATTCTGTATGCCATATTGAGGTGCTGGAAGTGAAAACGGTCACAAACACAAAAAATGTCGCACCTGCAGGGAGGAGTGAACTGGACAGGTGACCCAAACCTGACCAACAGAGTATTCCATCCCATAGACGTCATATTCAGTATAAAGCTGAGAGATCATGAGGGTCTCTCTCTTCTTCGATGGCTGAAGACATACTGTTCTTTAATGAGTCTCTCTGTCTTTTTCTTTCCTCCACAATCTCATGTAGCAAAGGGTTCAGAAGCTGGCAAACCTGCCTGGCCCAAACCAGCAGGAGGATATCGAACTGTTACAGGTAGAAGATATGGAAGAAGATATGCCTATATCCATTTTAGACCATCTTTTAATAGCCAAGACAGAGATAAACATCAACAACATGAACAACAGATGAACAATAAAGGCTGTGAACGAGTAGACTTGGATGTTCAGGAAGAGAATTTTTCATGTATGTACATATCTTTGTACGTTTGCTATTTAATTGCAAACTAGCATACTTGGAGGTGGAAGAGGAAGGCACATAGACAGATGTGAAGGGAAGAGAGTAGTGGCTTTAACAGGTGTACATTTCATGTGGCTTTATAGAATGAAACTTAACATGAAGGCGAATTAAAGTATAGTCTGTCTTAGGCTGTTTCATTTTGCTTGAAGAAGGGTATTCCTGAATGAGTTAATGCATTCTAAACAGTTAGATAACCATAACATAGAATCATAGAATGATTCGGATTGGAAGGGACTTTAAAGGTAGTCTAGTTCCAACAGCCCCCCCCCGACAAGGACACCTTTGACTAGACCAGGTTGCTCAAAGCCCCATCCAACCTGGCCTTGAACACTTTCTTTTTTATGAGCAGTTGTAGATGAGAATATTTCTATTTTTTTCAATTATTTCAGTGCATTCTTTCTTATGATTTTCTCTGAAGGTTGCAGTCCACTGGTTCAAGTTTCTTCTGGTTTATTAGATGAGCCGTTGTCAGAAAATATTGGAACTGGAGAACCCGTTTGTCGAAGTGTAGCATGTCAAACTTTTGAGGTGAACACTTCACCATTTTCTCTATCCTTTTATATTCTGGAAGGCAACCAGATGTCCAGGGACTTTATCAATCCTTATGAAAATTCTGAGGACCTTGCAGAACACACATCTGCTCTCAACCACAGAGTTTGTAGAGAATGTTGTGAAAAAGCAGGAGCAATGCCTTTAATGAGTTGTTTCAGCATAGATTCAGACTTGGCATATCCAAAGGACAGGGCATTTAAACCTTCTGATGAAGATCAAGCTATACCAAAAAGTGAGCCAAGTGGTGCCAATTATGAAACACAGCAGATAAAAAATACAGTGGATGTTGGAATCAGAACCCCTATAGCAATTGCTAGTGAACTAAATGTCAATGATGGAAAGACTAACCAAGGAAATTCACCTGAGCTAGTAGTGAGACCTAAAATAAGAAAACAAAGTACTCCAAAAAAGTTGGGAAGAGAGAAACTTCTCCCTAATGGTGGTGAAGAAAGTGGTTTCTGGAGAAGAACTGAAATTGCTGAAGTCCAGCATAGCTATGCTGAGTGTGCCTTGAGAAACAGTGAGGAGGACATGAGTTCTAGTATGTTCTCTGACTCAAGAGAGCATGAAGGCCATACAAAGAACACAGAAATAGACCTAAGGAAAAATGCAGCAACTCAAGAACAAATACTATTTTCAGATGATGACTCCTTTTGGGATGACACTGAAAACTGGAGCACACAGTTCTTCAGGTTCCTCAAAAATGAAAACAGGTAAAAATTCACTTTTATATCTCTATCAGTATTGAATATTTTGTGTAAATAATGTCTAAATCTGGGTAATCTGTTAGCAAATGAGACCTAAAAACTCAAGCAATTTCAGAATATGATCAGATAACAAGATGCCAACTTTTCCTTTCAGTTCTTTCACCCTTCCTCAAGTCCACCTAAAGAAATAGTAATGTACATTCTTCTGGTAATATAAAAAGCCTTTTGCTAACGTTTAGGGTCAAAGCATCTTACCACTAAGGAAGATTCCTTGTTTATTTTTGTTTTATTTTTCTGAGTGGATGGAGGGTAGAGAGGGAAAACTTTGTTCAGCATTTTTTTGGCAAATTATGGGTCTTTGAAAGTTCCTTTCAAGACTTTTTATTTTCAGAATTTGTTCTTTTTGCCATCAGATCTCAATATTCTGCATGACAGCCTATCTATGTTCTTGTCTCCAGCCTTTTGAAAGAAATTATTGTTCTGTGTCATATCTGAAGAATAACTTGATAGGGTTGCTTGTAATCCCTGTTCTTAAATGAAAGTTATTCAGACTGGTAGGTGTATCCAAAGTAACTGTTAATGAATACAGTTTCAGATCTACAAATAGCTCCAGCCTGGACACCAGGAGCAGTATTCAGGCTTTTCTTTTGTGCTCTCTACCGAGAAGACAGACTAACTTGGATAAAGATTATGTTGATTAACTTTTACTCATATTATGCTGGTTAAGAACTCTTAACTGTGAATTAGAGTTACGTAACTGAGCTATTTGGGTAAAAAAAATTTCTAACCTTCTGTTCATTTATGGTAAATGCAGTAGTGTTTGTGATGGATTTTGATTATTTTTTTCTGATTTTTCTTCTAGTTTGATTTCATCTTGTTTATTCTGTATGTGGTGCTTTTGTATGTGTGCTTGCCATTATGCCTTATAAGCAGGACAGCATGAAAATTTATTTGCATAAACTCTTGTCCTTAAAATATTGCAGTCCCAATTACAAGAGAAAAAAATCCTTAAGGCATTGTAAACTGGGGTAGGAGACTTAATTTTGTTTTTTCTTATTAAAGATATAGGTGGACTTGCAAATGTATCCTTTCCTTAACTTAAGTTTTACTTTTCAAAAATTTTTGTTACTGCATGGCCTGGTTTCAGCTGGGATAGAGTTAATTTTCTTCCTAGTAGCTGGTACAGTGCTGTGTTTTGGATTTAGGATGAGAATAATGTTGATAACACACCAATATTTTAGTCGTTGCTAAATAGCGCTTATCCTAAGTTAAGGGTTTTTGAACTTCCCATGCTCTTCCAGTGAGGAAGCGCACAAGAAGCTAGGAGGGAGCATGGCCAGGATGGATGGCCTGAGATAGCTAAAGGGATATTCCATAGCATAGAACATCATGCCTGGTATATAAACTGGGGGCAGTTGGCTGGGGGGGTATATTACAGCTCGAGGACTGGATGGGAAGTGGGTGGTGCACAATTGTATTGTGCATGTTATCTTCCTTTTGTTATCTTCCTTTGCATTACTATTATTTTATTTTATTTCAATTATTAAGCTGTTCTTATTGCATCTGGAAGTTTCACTTTTTTTATTCTCCTCCCCATCCCACTGGTGGTGGGGAGGAGTGAGTGAGCAGCTGTGTAGTGCTTAGGTGCTGGCTGGGGTTAAACCGTGACACTGCATAATCTTTTCCACTTCTGAAATGCTGCTACTAGAAGATTAAAATGCAATGGAGGAAATGGACTATATTTACAGTTATAGCATTGGCTTCCCTAATGCAAAGTGATGGATTGTAGCATGACAAAGAAATACAGACTGCTTATCTGAAATTGACTGTTTGTCATGATGGCAGTAACTGAACTGCTAAACAGGAAGCACCTTGCTGATTGCTCAAGCCGAGGCCTTCACCTCACATTTTTGCTTCAAGGAAGTACCCAGCTATTATGGTGTTAGCATGTAGAAGCTGTGTGGGAAGGAGAAAGTCTTGCATATTTCTTAGAACCACATATGCTGTAAGCTGGAAAGGTCATGGTATGTCCCTGGAGAGCTGGGGTGGTGGGATGAGGATCATATCTGTTAGCTCCCTCCATTTAGTTTTGGATTGTATGGCAAGTACAGGACAGTTCAGCCAGGGGAAAGACTATTTTCAGAAAATGCTTATGCAGATGCTGAGTTGATCTGTTATGCTTTTGGCAAGTGACAAGTCTATAACTAACCATTAAGTGATGTTCTGCATCTCCATAGAATTGGGCAAAGTTAAATGCTGTTTTGACATATATAGACATTCAGTGTTCTTTTATTCAGTATTAGTGATTTTAGGCATATCCTCTTTTCAGGTTTGAACTAGTGTTTGTGTATAAACTTTAAAGAGAACAGGTTTGGCTAACAACATAGGAATATTATTATAAACTGTTGGAAGTCATTACTGGATTGTAAAACTGAAATAAGAGATTTGAATATTTGGGCTAGTCTTGCAGTATTTTTAGATGACCTTTTTAAAACCTTTTATTTTGTCTGCTTGTTTTAAAGTGTTAGTATTCAGCTTTACTTGGTGCAATATAAGATGCATTAGACTGCACATCAGAATTTCCTAACAGATATGATTTCTATTGTAAAATAATCCTTTAAAATAGCCCAAAGTTAAAGAATATTCTCAATTCCATCACTTGCCCTAGTTGTCAAAATTGTGATAGAAAAATATATTCCTGCCTCAAATTAAAATGCTTCCATATAAACAGTCTTGATCTTCTTTATTCTTGTAAAACTTGCAGTGTATAATATGCGTCTTTTTCAAAAGTACCTGTAATCCATTAAATAGGAAGTTTTATTGGCATGTACTTGTAATAATAGACAGAAGGAGGGTTTCTTTTAAAGTGAATTTGTAGATGGGGAGGTAACATTGATACATATACTGGATTTAGCAGATTGAAAACTGAGTTGCATGTGTTGTGGATTGCTGTGTAAGATGTGCTCTATTAACCATGTTTGCTGTTCACGTATTAGTTTTCTGTAACTTTTTGAAGTGACATAGCTAGTTGAGTAAACTGAATTTTGGTAGGTGTCAACTGTCAGTATTGACTGAACCTTCTAAACAGCATTATTAAAGGCAGCAGTAGATAAGTTAATACTTCTTGGGATCTGCTAACATAGCTATTTTGTTTAAGCTGCCCACAACGTGTTATTTACTGCCCTTTTCTGTGTGGTGGCTGAGCAAATTCTCTTTCAAAAACTCCCAGTCATTCATCTGTTTGGGCTAGTGAATTATATAATTTGCAGTAAGTCATCCATTGTATCTTTGTATGACTGAAAAAAGACCACCATTGCCTATGGCTTGGAGGGTATGAGAGCTTTAAGTTTTGTTTGGCTGAGAAGTAAACAAACATTATTGTTTGTTAAGCAAGAATTGGTGTTCTCAGTGTCACTGCTGCTGTTTTCTCTGTGGCCTTGGAGAAATATGTATAGTGTGTCTGGGTTCATATTCCTGAGTTGTTTCATGTACTCTGCAAATGTGGAGGGGGAAGAACAAGACACTTCTGTGAAGTGGGATGGGCAGAATTCTTAGGAACTGATTTTTATGTATGCTTGCCTTGTAATAAATCTACAAATAGTACAAAATTAATTTCTGAGAGAGAAAAAATAGTTTACATTGAGGGAAATGTTCATAGAAAAGTAGGAAATCACAGAATGTTTGTGTCTTATTTTGTTTCCCATAAAGCAGTGTTCAGATTCACACCCTGTTGCCTTGTTTAAATTGCAGCTCAGAATGCAGTGATGGAGAATTGTCTTTTTTTGCTAAAGATGAGGACCCAGGCAGGGGGGAGCCTGAGCCTGAAATGCTGAGCAGTGCAAGTGGTGTAGAAGAGAACAGGGACTTCTGTTTCCGAGGACGGTATGGTTTTATTTTATTTGCTAAGTTCCTGTAAGTTCTGACATCATCAGTAAAATGATATCTGCATGACACTACACAGAATAACATCAGTTGTGAAAGTAATTACTATATTAGCAATAACCACTTCCCTACATCAGAATAATCTGAGCAGCTTTATGTATTTCAAATCACAGAAAAAAGGTATGTTGTGCAATATCATTTTATGAAAGACACAGAAATAGTGTGCATTGACATGTAGTATCAGTAGGGATAACAGGCTAGATACACCAACTTTAAAAAACCAGATTAGGCAAGTTAGTTGTAAAGACACAAAGTTACATACAGATCTTCTCATACTGCTTAGTACCTCTTCAAAGCAGCTGCTTATCTCTTTGCTTTGTTGCTTCTTGTATTCTACTGCAGGTCTTTATTTTTTGCAGCCCTATCAGCGGTTAAATTAAACTTGAACTACTTGCTTGCTGAGGACTTGCTTATTTTTCCAGTTGTTCAGTTTAGAAAATATATCTGCCTTTGCAAGACACAATCTGTAGCTATAAATAGACAATGAAAGTTTGATTTTCTTTTTTCCTAAGCATCTAAATACTGACCTTATATTCTTAGTTTGGGTCTTTATAAAGCAATAAGCCATGCTGAAGTGTTGTTTATTCCACTTCCAGTCAGTAGTACCTATTACCAAGCAGTGCAAATCGCTGTTACTGCTTTTTTAGTATCGCTGCCTCTTGAGGTTTGGAGAATTAGTGTGTCTTTATGAAGACATTACAAAAACTCATCTGTTTCAGAACAACAGCAATGGAGTTGTGTACTCTAACTGTCTTTGATACAAATAGCCTGCAAATGTACCCATTTCTAACATGATTCCTGTTTTATTTGCCCTTTGACAAGGAAAGTGGGACTTGCAGCCCTGTGCCTGTAAACATCCAAGTGACTTGTGCTCCTCTAGAAAATCCAGGGATGAGAGGAGTCTTTCTCATTATGTAAATAGCTTCTCTTGCAAATAGTATCTCTTTGCACTCAGGCCAAGGTTCCCCATGGAGGCTGTTGCAGGGTGTCAAGAGAGCCTTTCTTTTTAAAGGCTTTTAGAACTTTTAGATGAATAAGAATCTTTAGTACCAAGTCTACTGCATACTGCCTGTACTAGGGAAAATGCAAAGCAAGCTGCTTCCTGTACTGCTGGCCTTGAGCATTAGACCAATAATTTTGCCATAAAATCATGGCTGTAACTAGATTCTGAGTTTGGAGCTGATACCACTGGGAGTTTCTTGTGTTCTTTACAGCAAATGCTAAATTGCTAATCTGGAACTCTGCAGTCTAGGAAACATGCATCTTTAGCCCTTGTAATATATGTAGCTTTTGTTGCTTGCATATGTTTATGAAGTCTCCTAGCTTTTTAGTTTTAGATTTTCATTTATTTATTTGAAGGGAACAGACATTGTTGGAGGAAGGAGAGATTCCACAGTTACGGTACCAGGAAGAAGTAGAAAATAAAACTGAAGAGGAAAGTGATCCTGTTTGTGATTTTGTGTGTTCTGGATTCTTCCTCTTGCATGGAAATAACCTTGAGGATGACTCCAGTGTGAGACAAGACCTGGATGTAGAGTGGAGGTATGCCTTTGATAGTTTTCTGCATTAATTTTAGAGGTTTTATAGTTATTGTTTTGCTTTTTATGTAATATGTCAAAAGTACTCGTGGCTATCAGTATGCACGTGTTTCAAAGGCTGATAATCTGAGTTTTAAGGCTTAAGGTACTTCAAGTGCTATATTAAGAAGGATGTAGATTTGCTAAATCAGGCTGTGATCTGAGAAAAATCTGGTGCACTAAATATTCAAGGGTTGGGTATACTTTTTCAATTGATTTTCAAGATGGTAAGTATAGCAGAAATAACAAAAGCAAAGCAATATGTATGTAATTAGAATTCAAGTCAGTGCAATTAGTCTTTTCCTCTTTGCAACTGATGTAGATTAGATGTTATAAGCCTATTTTATTTCTTTGAAGTGCCATGTGCTTACCTAATATTATCATTTTGAATGCTTCACTCAATTTTCTGTCATTAAATTACTGAAGAATATTGCAATATACTTACTTCAAAAATTCTGCCAGGCAGAAAGCAATTGGAGCCACTTGGACAGCCTAGTCCTACAATAGTATTATGCGTTTGTTTTAAAGTAAGCAACAGCTAGACAGAATGCTTTCCAGTGAGAGACTTAATGCTTGCTCTCTTCTCCTCAGTAAAAATATAAAGTACAGTGTGGACATACCAAAAAAGAGTGATATTTTGTCCTTGAAGTTATTGTGAAGAAGCATGACAGGAATTAATGCCCGAGTCCAAGCTAGAAGTAAGGCATGTGTTCTTACAGTGCCAAGCAGCAAGCTACCAAAGGAATTGTAGGATATGGACAAGTGTTGGAGGTTAACCTTAGTAGGCTTCCTAATTACTCAGCAGCCTGTTTTGTCTGTTGAGCATATGCAGATCTGTACACGATTTTGCTTGTGCCCATTTTAAGATTTGATCTCTGAATGTTGAAAACAAACTCAAAGCAGCTGCCAAGCTATGAACTGTGACACACAATGTAATCAAAATCTGAATGCTAGTTGTAAAACAAGCTTAACAGCATACATATGAAATTTATTGGCTGAACTGTATGCCCTGTTACTCCAGTCAGTGGTAAAAGCTCCTATTGTGTTCTTCTGAAGTCTGTATTGTCTTGAATGTACCACTGTACTGGGAGCAGGTGCTGGCAGGGGGTGCTACAGGGTGGCCTCTGTGAGGAGAGGCTGGGGCTGCCCCATGTGGGACACAGCTGATTCCAACTGGCTTCAGTGGACCCCCCACAGGGTTGTGCCTCTGGGAAAGTATTTAATAAAGGGTAAAAAATGCTGCACAGCAGAATGTGAGAGAGAAAGAAGTGAGGATGATGTGAAACAGCCCTGCAAACACCAAGGTCAGAGAAGAAGTAGGAGCAGGTGCTCCAGGTGTGGAGGAGAGATTCCCCTGCAGCCTCTGGAGAAGACCCGGTGGAGCATGTCGGTATTTGCTGGAGGAACTGTATCTGTGGAGAGCCTGTGCTGGAGCAGTTAGTGAAGGACCAGAGCTTGTGGGAAAGACCCATTCAGAAGAGGGTTTATCCTGAAGGACTGCAGCCCATGGGAGGGACCCCACACTGGAGCAGGGGAACATTACAAGGAGGAAGGAATGGCAGACGGGAACTGCCATGGACTGACCACAACCCCCATTTCCTCTCCCTCTGCCCTGTTTGGGGTAGGGGGACACAGACGAGTCAGGAATGAAGGAGTGAAGTTGAGCCCAGGAAGAAAGGGAGGGCTAAGGGGAAGGTGTTTTAGTGTTTGTTTTTGTTTCTCATGATCCAACTCCATTTTTATTGGCAAAAAATTAATAGAATCATAGAACAGCCTAGGTTGGAAGGGGCCTCAAAAGACAGTCTGGTTCAACCCCTTAAGTTGAGTCTGTCTTGCCTGTGATGGTGACTGGTGGGTGATCTCCCTGTGTTTATCTTGACCCATGAGCTTTTAGTCTTATTTACACAGCTGTCCAATTGAAGTGGGGGAGTGAGAGAGCAGCTAGGTGGGTATCTGACAATCAGTCAAGGTCCACCCAGCACAGCCACCTCATGAGAGTATACACACAGTTATTAACAGGTGATGTGCAGTAATTTATGTACTGCACATAATTGATGTACTCAGCCCTCATGTTGTTAATATTTACTTTGAAATGAAGACCATGTTTCCTAACTTATGTTTTTCAGACTGCGTGATGAGTTTGGTGATGGTCTAGGACTTGCCCAAGCCACTGCTTTTGTGGATCCACTGGTTGTCACGGCTAGGGCACTAGAGGAACGCTTACAACAAGCTATACAGGTATTAAAATATTCTTGGTGGTATTATATCAGTGATATTGTGGCATAAGTTTTTATTATTGAATCTTTTTTTGGCATAATCTAAAAGCAGGAGAATCAGGGAAAATACTTTCATGTTTTTGCTTGACCTTTCAGGTCTGCAAGCTTGAAAATAAATGCTGGAAGCTCTTTTAAATGATGTAGTGCAAGAAGTCATTGATCTGTGCTACTCTTAAAATATATGTTTAATTTCTCTTAAGGGAAAAAAGGTACTGATTTTCATCAGTATAAACATATGCTGTCTAAATTGTTCTAAAGAATGTTACCAAATTTCCTACCTAACAAAGCAAAGTTCATACCTGGATCTGTGTCTATGAATTTTGCCAGCTTTTTTTTGCAAGAGTACAATTGGATGTCTCATGTTTTTATCCCTCAGTAGAAGACTTTTCTGTGTTTGACTGTCTTGACTACATGTGTGTTAAACTTAAAAAAAAAACCCCACACCCCAAAGCTATAAAAAGCCTTTTGTCTTTACCTTGTTCTAATCTCATTTAATGTCTAACTTGGATAAAACCGGAGCATTTGTTACTGAGAGCCAGTATGGTTATGATCTTTGTCTTTTCAGTGTTACATGATGTTGGTCACTGTCAGAGTGCTGAAATTCAGTCTGATGTAACGGTGACAATTCTTGTGTTGCCAGAAATCTCCCCTGCAGGGTATTTGTCAAGATAAACAGTTAAATGACATGTAGACATATAATCTGGCATTACAACAATTAAATTGAATGTTTTGTGACACATGTTTAGGGGTAGCAAGGTGCAGTTTTACTACTAGCTCTTAGTTAAGAGGTGAAGAGAGCAGACTGTATATCATAGTGTGCTTGCAGACAAAATACCAAGGACACTTTAAAAAACCTTTTAAAGCTGACAGTGGAACAATCATAGATATTTTTTTTCCATGGATATGTGCATAATTGATTTTGTGAATAAACTTCATGGGGATTTTCCAAGGGGGTGGAAGGGTTGTTCCCTGAAATTGGCAGTCATTCAATTTCCAGGTATTGTAAATACCCTAAGGTAAATGGGAGGTCAGCATTATTCATAATCAAGTACCAAGGGTCTTCTCCAGCTGTGTAGGTTCTTCTTAGTATTTCTCATCTGGAGACAATTCAGAACTGCTTATTAATGTGTAGGAGGTTTGTTGATATCCTTGCTATAAAAGCAATATTTTGAAGTCATATAGGGAAAATTCCTCATCTCATTTCATGGCTGCCAGTTCTCACTATATCAAAAACAACTGCAGAAGCTGACCTCCTCTTTTGCATGAAAGCGAGGGGATCTGTGTAGAGAGGGGAAACTATTCCCATCTTATTTTTTTTAAATCTATGTATTAGCATTTGAAGAGAGACTGTGGGTTTTTATGGCTCCGAGTTTTTCTTTCTCATTACTGTGTAACATAATTTCCCTAGTTACCCTGCCAGAAGAAACATGTGCACTCTTGTCAGGCTGACCTGTAAAAGCAATCCCAAGTGGCTATGTTCATGGCTGGCTGAGAAGATGCTGTAATTATGTTAGTGTCACCTGGAGTGTCATTGAACACACTTGGCAAGCAGGTAGACTACAAAGGTAGTTATTCTGATACCTGTGGTACAGGTCACTGTGGATGTTGGACAAGAGGGAAAGCCAGTTCTCTTAAATGGTATTTGTGCTTGAAATGAGCTCTTAGGTGTTTGAAACCTTACAGTGGACATAGAAGTCTGGCATAATTGGAATTAGTCAGCAGAAAATGGTAACTAGGTAATAAAAGGAACAGCTGTATTGACTGCGACTAAATGGACAACACAGGTTTTGAGTAGAATTCCAAATATTTCCTCCAAATCTCAAGCAGAATATATACAGCATGTCTCTTTCCAGTATGAAGATGGTTACTAAAATTGTTCAGAAAGTAACAACAAGGACTAACCAAAACTGTTCAACATTTGTCTTAAGCAATATTTCAAGTATTTCTGGAAGTTCAGAGAAAGTACAGGGGGAAAAAAAGCTGTGCAATGTCTATCTAAAATTAATTGTTTGCTGAGATCCTATCTTTTAATGACTCCAGCGATCTGTAGGCAGGATCAGGATATAATGTTTTCTGCTTTTTAGAAAATAGGACTTGCAAATAGCTAGTCCAGTGTAATCTCCTAAGAAAATATGATGTGACCCTGTGCCTGACTGGATTAACATAGACTAGAAACTTGTATTCCTGGAAGGATGTTCAGAACAGCCTTTAAACACGACTTTCCTGGTTGTCAGACAATTGTAGATGAAGATGTAGAAGTGTTCCACAAACGTAAAAATGTAGAATCTTTCATTGAAATAGTAAATATCTCAGTGTTCAAAACCTTTTCCTTATCTTTGGTACTGTGGTCAGAGTACTTGCTCAGATATCCAGAATGTGGTGTACATCATATTTTCAGGTGGAGAACAAAATTTTAAAAAATGGTTTCTTTTGTGATGCAAATACCAGACTGAACTAATATTTCAAGTTTGCATAAGAGATTGCTGAAAATGTCTTTGCTTTCTGCTAGAAAATACAATTTCTGATTTTTCCATTTATAGGGTGTATAGAATATATTTGTAATATAATAATTTTTGTTCATTAATTGTTGCAACTGTATATATTTATCAAGTAGGCAGTTGGAGATCACTGTGAGGGGTATCTTAGTAACTAAGGTCAGGGTGATCAGGCTTGAGAGCTGTTTGAGGGAAGTATGAATTGAAGCTAGTTGTCTGTCTTCATGACTAGTACTTTATGCTCCTCATCCCTTTCCCTGAGAGTGAAGGGAGTAATTTCATTTGGTCTTGAAATAGTTCCTCTTATTTGGGGGATCAGGAATTGTTCTGGTTTTGCTAGGCATTTTTCTGCAGGATGATTAGATTTCAGTTTCACATCTGGTTCACAACCTTTCCTGCTTGTTCTACAACTTTTGTTCTTACCTTTCAGGTCTTACTGCTTGCATGCCTGTTGTCTTTCTGTTTGAACTATACCCCAAGCTGGTTTGCCACTTTGCAGTTGTATATGATCTATATATTTATATTCCACTTTCTAACAGGCTACTTGGTGTCAGTTATGCTATTTTAGTGTTATTTAGACCTGGCTTCAGGACAAACAGCTATTATTTAAATCTTGCTTAGTCTGATTCTACCTGATGGGTGTAGTATACCTCTGCTTTTTCTTCAAGTTTAGAAAGTAACCCATCTGCTTCCTGGTAATTATTTTTGCACCAGAGGTTTTGTAATGGAGAAGTCTGAGCTTCAACTGTCTTTAAGTATTATTCTGATTTGATGAACAGATTGGGTTGAGTTTAATTATAACATCATTAATAATCTGTCTGACTGTGACTTTATTCAACCTATTACTGATTTACTTAATCCACCTCCTTAGGTTTCCCCAGATTCTCTTATCTAAAATAGTAGATTCATTAACCAGACCTTTTCACCTATAACATAACTTATTATGAAAGTCTATTATAGCTCAGAAAACTTTCTAAAAATTTCTGTCCAGCAGACCAATTTACTGTAGCTATGAAACACTTGAAAGGGAAGTGATATGATAATGCCTCCAATATTCAGTTCAGGTGTATCTTCACTGGGGGGCAGGGGGGAGATCTGTCCCAAATAATTCAATTAATTGTGACATTTGGTGGGGAAAAGTAGTGAATATATGAATTTTTTTAAAAAAAAAGCTGTTCTCTAAGACTCTTGGATCCTAAAATGTAATAATATGTATGTGTGATTTATTTTTTTAACTTCCATTTGTTTTAAAGAAATTACTTAGCTGTGAGTGTTTAGCAGTGTAAAACAGGTTAGGTGTGGCTGCAATGTCAGTGAATTCATTTATGAATATTTCCTGTGCCAATTCAGACATGTGAGGAGCTCAAAACCCCCCGTAGGCTATAGCACTCCTGCTTTTAGCGGTGTGCAGCATTTGGTTTATGGTACATGGAGCAGTATGCAGTTGCATAAGTAATAAGAGCAGGGAAATAAAGGTGTCTTTGAAGTTATAAAGGTATGTCATAAAAGTTGCAAAATGGACACTTCTTTGCTCTGCTGTGGTTTGGAGGATGTGCTTTTAAGCATCAGAGTTCTGAGGCTTTCTGTCTGTGGTATTTCTTCTGTGTAGCTTTCAAAAGCAAACAATACAGTGTTTTTGTAACTTGTTTTCTGTTTGAAAGTACTAATACTGGATATAAAGAGAGGTTTGACACATAGGTAGTATGGCATCCTTCTGTCTGCTAGGGATCTTGCCTAATTTTTCCAGCTGTAGTACTTCACCTAATTAAGCATAGTATTTTTTACCTACAGATTATTCTCAGACCACTGCACCTGTAGCTAAATACCATTACAAATACTAAAGTAAAATACTAGTAATGTGGTATTGTCTGCTGTAGCAAATTGTGTGGGTTTAAGCTGTTAAATTGGAGGAAAGTACCTGTTTTGCAGGTAGACTTCCATATTGCACTAGGGATAACTGTCCCAGGATTTCAAGTCAATTAGCAGATTTCTAGATGAGAATGTGCGGTAGTCAGAGCTGTAAATACTTATCTGTTAGCTCATGCTGGTCTCTGCTGCCACAAACATTTGACTGTAGGTGTAAATCTGCTAGTTATATCTATGGTGGAATGGTTGCCTGGGCTACCTTGCCACTGCGATAAAAGTGCAGGTATGTTTTCAGGCTGCAGCTCTATTAACTTTCTCTAAAGTTTAAGAGGAAAGACTACTTAAGATGTTTGTGTATAATCCAATGTGCTGTAGTATATTTCTGGGTTTTTAGTAAGTGTATGCCCAACATTACAAAAATGTCATGTTATCTTGAACTTCTTACCAAGGGAGTTTTGTGGCCATTACAATAAATAATTTTCATGCTGATTAGAATAGTAAGTAGTTGTACTTGAGGGGTGTGACTAGTTCATTCAAGATATGAATGCTTCTGCAGTGCTTCTATGTTCTTGGCTCTTCAGTTGCAGTTTGTTCTGCTGTTCAAACACATTTATCTAATACATTTCTTAGCAAATATCTAAAAAACCAATCAGAGTTGTGTTGCATTTTTTCTTTTTTCTACTGGAGAACCTTTAAGCTTCTTATGGGGTTGAATGTATGATGTAAACATCAAGTCCGCCTGCTGTAGCATCGGAGTCTGAAAGATTGTGTGTGAGAAATTTAAGTTTCAAATAAGATAGCTTCAGAGCACTATGTCTTCAGTCATTATACAGATGATGCACATCTATGTGGATCCTGGGTTTTTTATGAAAGCTTACATTGGTAGTGTAGCAGAATTACTTAATATTTTTGTTTGTACCTGAGTAATTCAATAGTTGAAGTTAGGAAACACATTAATGAGACCTTTATTTTCAGAAAGTGAAGGATTTGTATTAGCAAGCTTTATTACATTTTCAACCTGATGCCTTTTTTGAAATTTTGTAAAATTAATAAAATGTTCATTACAGAATAAGTTGTGACTCTGTCCTGATACTTTGAGAAGTCTTAAAAAACAAGCAGTTGCTGTTTTGACCTTCAGTTTCATTTCATTCATTATGAAAATAAAAATGATGTAATGGTTAGTCTGTAAGACATAACTTCCATTTAAGCATGTAATACTATAAGAATTTGATTGCTTTTCTTGCTTATTTGTTTTTATATGGAATGTTACACTTGTGAGTAAGAGAACTTGGTCTCTGCTCACTCTTTTCAGATTACTCTGGCAAATTGGGGCTCTCTTGAATTTAATGCTGAAGAGGCTCATCCACCAGCTACTCAAGAAACTATAGATTGTCTGCCTGAGATTGTCGTCACAGATGACTATGATGGTATGGAACAATAAGGATTAATTTCTATGAAGTTTATAAGAACAAATTTAGCTTTCTGTAGTACCACAGATGCAGTATTTAAACACACTTACTGTGCAGCTGTCAATGCTGTTCCAAGAGCTTTTGAATCTTGACTCAAACTGAATCAACTTTAGTCAGTTTGGAAAGCTAATCTTTACTGGAGTAAGTGTGACTATTTTGTAATCATTAGTGATATTGTTAATATATGTATCTTGATTTCAGCTCATCTTAAATGTAAACCAAGATGATGATGTTAATAATGCTTTTTTTTCACCATGGGTGTAGGTCAAGAGCAGTCTTGTACTATCTGTTGGAGTGAATATGTGAAAGATGAAATCATTACAGAGTTACCCTGTCATCATTTCTTTCACAAAAGTTGTATAGTTCTTTGGCTACAAAAGGTAAGTACTAAAGGATTGGTGGCATTTTTATGGGGCTCTTTGAGCCCCCCATTTGCATTCTTCTGGGAAGAACAGTTTGTAACTTTTTGAAAATGTGGGATAGAATACCAAGAAATAACTTGCTGTTAATTTTATGCATTATGAAACCAAGTGCAAGTGAGGAAAGTAACTTATCTGTAGTCATCTAAAGGGCAATTTCTTGAATAGAGGGGCTATTTTTGTGAGGAAAAACAGGGTCTTAGTAAGAATGAAAAAGATGGGTGAGCTATAATTTGTTTTGGTATGAGAGGAGCTTTCTGTATGCATACATTGAAATAAAGATGATGGCTTGGTTTTCTCTGAGAAGAGCAACAGATCTTATCTGTCTTGCCAGAATGTCAGGCCCATTTATGGTGACAGCTAAGGTTGGCAGGAGAAATACTGGAATGCCTGTAGATTAATTTAAAAAACTTACCTTTGTAAATCAGTATTGTTAGATGTCACGTTCATAATCTGTAATCAGTTTTCTTCCAAATGTCTTAGAAAGGCTTACATCACATTGAAGCTAGACTAAAAGAACTGTAATTAGTGAATTGGTATTTTTTGTTGCACTTGCACTCTCCTTTACATGCAGTGTGAGCCTGGACTTGCTAGTTCTCAGTGACCCTACAGTGTAGCATACATCATTTCCTCAAGAGGTACAACAGGAAGATTAATTGATTCAGACTAGGGAGATCAGATCAGAACACCTCTAGCATGGATTGTTGGTGGGTTTTTCTACCTTGATAGTGTTGATTACCATGTTGATATTCCTTGTATTGTATGTTTTTGTCTTTGCTGTCATAGCAAACTGCTTTTGCTGAGAACAAGGACAAAATACTTCCTGTTAGACTTGGGCTGTACCTAGTGTATTCTTAATCCTTGCCTCAAAAAATTCACACCTGTAAAATCAATTCTTTAAAGACCTTGCAGAGAGCCTGATGTGTCCGCTATGTAAATGGTGTAAAAGCAAAACAAAGCTTTCTTCTGAGGTTCTTAGGTACCTGGAGCTAAGAGACAGCTATCCAGTAAAATTTGACTTTGAGACAGGGCTGCTGTGAAGACATTAAATACTTCATGAATAATAACATTTAGCTTTTCAGTAGAATTGAATGCAAATTGTGCAAATGACCTGTTGTGTTTTTATTTTTCGTAGTCGGGAACTTGCCCTGTTTGTCGCCAGGTGCTTGCACCTGAGCTTCCTGAAGGAGCTGCTGCCACTGATTCCACTCTATCTGATACGCTTCCGCAGCTTCTGAACAGAGTACTACAAGAACTTCAAACTAGACTCTTGAATTAAATCTTTGCCACCAAAATAAAAGTGTAAATCTTGCCTAATTACAATGTGAAAACTATTGTGTATAAAATTATATAAAAATTACCTAAATTAAATATTTTGGTTTAGAAAGAGTTCAAGACTTTCTAAGCTCTTAAGGTTAACAACAATAACTTCAATTTTCAAACTAAGTTACAAGAATTTGCAGCCTTTGTTCTTGGCATAATGATGCTGGTAACTAATGTCTAAAGCCTGCACTGCAGTAAGTTGTTTTTCAAAAAATATGATGAATGTGGCCCTTGGTTTCAAAGTTCTTGCAGCTGCAGTACAGTTGCAACTCACTGAAGTTACATTTGTTTGGTTTATGTAATGTAACTGAACTATTTGTTTTTGTCAAAGTGTGTGCCACTGAGTGACTCTGTAATTGATCTCTCATATTTGCATAAAATCTGAAGATGTTTCATGATCCCTGCAGTGGTACAATTTGACTTCCCTGGAACACTTATTTCTTACAAGTTCATTCCATAATAAACTTTCTTCCTAATGTCAGCAATGTTATTGCTGTCTGGTGTGGTTTTTTTATTTATAAATGCTAGCACCATTTTTAAGCTTGTCACAGAATATGAGCTATGGAACTTCAACGTTTGAAGTTCTAAGTTGCTAAGAAGTTGCACCTATAAGAGCTGAGCAGCTGTTTCCTTCAATTTATGTTTAAATTCCAGTCTACCGATTAGGTCTCCTGCACTCTCTCCTGCATGTGTGCATGTTCTCTCTCTAAGATATATTTATTTGTATATATGTCAGGTCTGTGGTTGCCTTCTACTGCAGTTATAGTTAAAATATTTTTGGCTCTTCTGAAAAAGATGGTAGAAACTTCATACACAATTGAAAAATACATTTGAATACTTGGCTATTAGTATAATTGTTTAAAGTTATTTCAGTAATTTAAAAATTAAGTTATGTTTCTTGTATTTGCACTGGTTGCTACACTTAGTATTTTAAAGGAGCAAAGACTGGTCCATAAAACGTATTTCTATAAATAATACTCTAGTAAATGTGAAAAACCTCTAAGGAACATGGAGTTAATCGTTACAGAACAAAGTTACTATTTGGATATGTACATGTGTATCCATGTGGCTGCACAGAAACTTTTCTGTGGCTGCTGGATAGACACAATTCCTGAAATGTTGGTGCATGGGAATAATATACAAGGGGTCTAATCAAACCCTCTTAAAACCATTACAGATTTTTCCAGTAACTTTAAAATTAAGATGAATTAAGCTCTTGGAAAAGTGATTGATAAAAAATTAACTGAGCAGCCAGCAAGCTACTATGTTGTTATTATGGCTGCCATCATCATATCTCACTACTTTATAAATATTAATATATTATAACTTTAAATTTGCTAAACTAGGCAAAATATGACAAGGAACATATACTTCTAGGTATCTCACCAGCAGAATTCATATAATCCAAGAAGTGCTATAATCTTCCACATCTCTTACAAATTAGTGCTGTGGAGAGTGGTTGATCTATGGCTACCAACTACCCCATACAATAAAATAGTAATGCCTTTAAAGCTTATCTAAGGTGTGTATGGGATGTATGTAGATTTAAGAGAAAGTAGAAATGACATCTGTATTGCTTGCAGGGGGAAAAAACCACCTCAATAGAGCTTCCTGTTTTTCAGTAGCTCCCCCTGCAGCAAATGTTACAGGCATTTTAACCAGGCTATACTTTGTTCCTCTCTGCAATGGCACAATGTTGGCCTTCATTTAATCTCTTCAGCACAGTGTTTTATAAAGAGAATTACTTTAACTTCTGTGGCAAGATTTAGAAATCCTTTTGCTAGAAGCTGTTGATTCCAGACTTAACCAGCAGTGTCAAGAGCTAAGCTAGAAGCTTTTTCCTTCCTTGGTTATCTGTTGCTGGCCTCAACTCTGACTTCTTCCTATTCCTAAACAGCTGTCTAAAAGAAAAGTGTTCATGTTCTCTCTTTTTTTTTCTTTTTTGAATGTGAACATAGAGGTCTTATTCACAGATCTTTCCTGGCTCCTCATCTGAGGAAAGTGCAGATGAAGGGTCTTTCTAATGAGGTGCCTGAAAAAGCCTATGCTAGGTCATACTCAAAAGATTACTGGTAGAAGTTTAGCACAAAATAGAAAGCAAAAAAAATTCCAAACCTTCGGATCATGTCCAAATATTGTTGTGATTATCTAAATTTTTGCTAAATGGAGCCATAACAGATTACTTTGCAGATTCTGTGGTTCCTGCTTCAATCATAAAATTGTTTGGTTAAAATGGACCTAGTTCTTGAAAAGTCCCTGCAAAGTATGTTTTCCTAGAATAATAAAAATTAGTTTTCTTTTTGCTCAAAGAGACTATTCTAGACATTTTCAAGTAAAAACTTTTAGCTGTAAGGAAGAAAATCTTTTTTCCCCATGTTATGTAAAACAAAGCATTCCACAGGAATGAGAAAGCAAATGTGAAAAATAAGCTTGTTTCTGTTAAAGATTCATGTTATCTATACATGCAGTAGTGCATTGGAAGCATCTAACTTCACTAAATACATGATGTAAACTGAATTCATTCTAGTACTTCTATAAAACATTTTCATTCCAGAGTTAAAATGCTTTTTGGCTTTAAATAACCCAACAACACATATTTTATTTAATGTTTTGTTTCTCCCTTTGTATCCTGGCAGGTTTTGAAAAGTTTCATTATCTGTTTAAGCTATTAGACATATAGGTAGTAGATTTTTCTTAAATATACATAATGAAAGCAATTACTGTAGTGTGAAAAGAACCTCCCTTCAAGTCAAAGGAGAAGTTCACTTAGTTCTTGTGCCCATGTATGTCTTAGGATTTTGGTTGAGGTTTCTTGGTGAGCTGACTGATAAGTCACAGGTCTGCAGACACCTTCCTTGTTATACAATGCAGAAAATTCCTGCTTTTTATTGATATAGAAGAGTTGCAAAATGCAATTATTCTATAACTCTGCAAAAAATAACTCCTTACAAGCCATATAACCTGTTGATATTTCCTGTGAAAAGAAACCTGTTTGGGTTCAAAGGGAATTTAGAGATCATCTTCCACTAGACCAGGTTGCTCTATGCCTCATGCAACCTGGCCTTGAACACTGCCAGGGAGGGGGCAGCCACAGCTTCTCTGGGCAACCTGTGCCAGGATCTCACCACCCTCACAGGAAGGAATTTCTTCCTAATATCTAATCTACATCTGCCCTCTTTCAGCTTGAAACCATTACCCCTCATCCTATCACTACACTCCCTGATCAAGAGTCCCTCCCCACCTTTCCTGCAGGCCCCCTTGAAGTACTGGAAGGCTGCTCTACAGTCTCCCCGCAGCCCTCTCTTCTCCAGGCTGAACAACCCCAGCTCTCTCAGCCTGTCCTCATAGGGCAGGTGCTCCAGCCCCCTGAGCATCTTTGTGGCCTTCCTCTTGAACCCCTCCCAGTCCCTCATCATCTTCATGACCCTCCTCTGGACACACTCAAGCAGGTCCATGTCTTTCCTTTGCTGGGGGCCCCAGAGCTGGACACAGCACTGCAGGTGGGACCTCAACAGGGCAAAGTAGAGGGGGAAAATCCCCTCCCTCGACCTGCTGGCCACACTTCTTTGGATGCAGCCCAGGATGCAATTGCAAATGCAAAAGCACACATTGCTGGCTCATATTCAGTTTTTCATCCACCAGCACCCCCAAGTCCTTCTCCCCAGGGCTGCTCTCAATCCACTCACAACCCAGCCTGTATCTGTGCTTGGGATTGCCCTGACCCAGGTGCAGGACCTTGCACTTGGCCTTGTTGAACTTCAGGGAGTTTGCACAGGCCCACCTCTCCAGCCTGTCAAGGTCCCTCGGATGGCCTCCCTTCCCTCCAGTGTGTTGACCGCACCACACAGCTTGGTGTCATCGGCAAACTTGCTGAAATTCAATCTCACTGGTCACACCATCGATAAAGATGTTAAATAGCACTGGTCCCAATACCGACCTTTGAGGAACACCACTTGTCACTGGTCTCCACTTGGACATCGAGCCATTGACCATGACTCTTTGAGTGCAATCGATCCAACCAATTCCTGATCACCAAGTGCTCCATCCATCAAATCCACATCTCTCAATTTTAAATAGCAGGATGTTATGTGGGGCAATGTTGAATGATTTGCACAAATCCTGGTAGATGACGCCGGTTGCTCTTCCCTTACCCACTAATGCTGTAACCCTGTCATAGAAGGCCACCAAGTTTATCATGCATGATTTGCCCTTAGTGAAGCCGTGTTGGCTGTCACCAATCATCTGCTTATTTTCCATGTGCTCTAGCATAGTTTCCAGGAGGATCCACTCCAGGATCTTGCTGGGCACAGAGCTGAGACTGCCTGGCCTGTAGTTCCCCAGGTCTTCCTTTTTTCACTTTTTAAATATGGGGGTTATGCTTCCCCTTTTCCAGTCAGCGGGAACTTCTCCAGACTGCCACAACTTCTCAAATATGATGGATAGTGCCTTAGCCACTTCATCCACCATTCCCTCAGGACCCACAGATGCATCTCATCAGACCCCATGGACTTGTGCACCTTCAGGTTCCTTAGATGGTCTTGAACCTCTCCTACAGCAGGTGGTTGCAGTGCTGACCGTGCACACAGACAATTAAGACGCATAATTATTTAGGCAAGAGTAGGAATATCGCTACATGGAGAATAAGCCTGTATTCTCTTTATAGCCTAATAAGCATAATCTGTATTTACAGATCTTTGCTCTCTTAGAATTCCACATGATTGCGATTTTTTTCAGTGTTAAGCCTTTCTGTAGATAGACAATTACCATGCTCTGAGCCATATATCATAAATTATGATAGACAAACCAACTAATGATGATTATTAACAAATAAATATGAGGATTTAATGATGTCTTGGGGCCAAAATGTAAAGGGCATGATTTTCATTTATACCAGAGTCGCTTTGCCCTCCTGAGGCATAG